GGGGGGGGGGGGGGGGGGGGGGGGGCTTGACCAGATTTGTCTTCAACGGCCGCAATCTGGAGATGATGGCCGACTCTGATCGCGTTGCCATCCTCAGCGCCATCAACCAAAAGGGCATGTACGAGTGGCTGTGTTGCAACCACGAGTTCCTCACATTCTACACGTCATGGCTGGCCAGCCGCCGCCCCCTCCACAAGGCCCCCCCAGCCCTCACACCCCAGCTGCTGCGGACACACGGCAACTACAGGGCATGTTCGATGGACGTTCTCATGATGCTGTGGAAGCACCTCATCGAACAATCCTCCGACGAGTGGACACCCAGACTAGAGGAGGTGACTTGACACCACACCTACAGAGGGGACGGGGGCATTGAATGCATTAACTTAACTGACCGATGTGGTTGTTGCTGTTTTTGTTGTGTTGTGTTGTGCTGTGTTTTACAGTTGAACTACGTGTTGTCTTCATTGGCGGTCCTGCCGACCGACGTCCCTCTCCATGACACGACCCATCTCATCGAGGCAACAGCCGCTGACGACGCCAACGGCCCTGAAGATGCTGTTAGCCGCCCGTCATCCCCCCCCTTCATATCCCTCACACTGACACTTCAGGAGCCGGCAACTGCAGACACCTCACCCGCTCCACTTGTTCATCCTGACCGCTCCCTGGTGCCCCGACAAGTCCCACAAGAGCCGCCCTGTCATCGGCTGTCGCTCTTCACACCTGCAATGCGGCCCTTCTGGGAGCTGAGGCGCCGCGTCATCGACTGGCTGGCGGAAAGCTATGCACCGCTTTTGACGGGAGATGGTGCACCGTGCAAGCCGCCTCTTGACGAGAGTCTGGGTGGTTTGTTCCGTGGTGTGTTGCTCAACTGGCCGCGGCTGGAGGGTGGTGGGGGTGGTGGTGGTGGTGGCGAGACCATATGGACCGTGGCGCGTGGAGTGGGCGTCGACCTGAGCGGCACGGTCGTGCCGGACGACATGCGGGGCCTCGTGGCGCCTCTTGCCTTTTTGCAAGAGCCCTTCATCGATCAAGTACGTCAAGTGGTCTCTTCCGACGCAGCCTTGAGGAGAGAACCACTCGCAGGTACGGACACATCGAACAAAGGTGGAAGAAACAAGCAGGACAGGATGGTCCTTGAGCAAATCCGTTGGTGGTATTTGGTGTCTGTCTGGTGACACAGACGTGCTGGCATCAGTGCTCTATCTGCAACGGCATCTCGCTGCACTGGACAGCCCCCAGCAATCAGATACACTGCATCGGTCCACTGCATTGCTGGGCGACCTCCGCGACACCCTTAGGGAGAGGGTGCTGTTATCCCCCGCCCCCTCTCTGGCGACGATAGCCGTCCTGGTCGACCGAGGCCTTGTGCCAAGCACACTTCTCGATGGTGCAACGAAGGTGCTTCTTCTCGAGCCGTCGTCGCAGCCCGCGTCAGTGGTGCCGCTCGTCAAGGCCGTCGAGTGTGCCATGCACTGCGGCCGTCCTGCACACTCTTTGCTGCGGGCATTTGGAGCCGTTGCGTCGTGCGGGGGAATGATGGACGTGACGTCGAGTGACTTAGTCTTGAAAGAGGAAGCGAACGGTGAGAGGGGAGGGGAAGGTCACAGACGTCCATCATGTGTCTTGACGTTCATTCATCAAGTGGTCGAGAGCATCCACCAGGGTTTGCTGCCGCGCCTCAGAGAGGCCTTCAAGGGCCCTGCTGCATCGCCGACAGACGGACGGGGCTCCTCACGCTTCATGCAAAGTCAGAGCGCACACACAACGACACATACAGCAAGGAGACAGTCTGACCCATCAAGATTAGCTTGTCTTATCTTATCGATGTCCGGTTGTCTGTCTGTCTGTCTGTCTGAATTTATCAGGGAAGATGCGCAACATGCTCGCAGGCTCCATTGCAGACAAGGATGCCACCGACAAGCGACCCGCTGAAGCGCTCAAGCAGATCGTACGCAAACCACCCACCCAAGGGGCGGAGAGAAAATCGTCCACCTCTGATCGTCCATGTGTGTGTGCTTCCCAGCCCCCCCATCGGCTGCCTCGGGTGCTGCTGGCGTTGACAGCCTTGGAAATCCGCCGCCGAGCTCTCCAGCAACAACGGCACACGACGGCGGATCAAGGATGGGGCGGCCATTGCCTCCTCGCTGCTGGTGGGCGAGGGTCGGTTGTGGAGGGGCTGCTGGCAATCATTCTGGAGACGTGGCAGGCACAGGGAAAACCCAAACGACTGGCGCCACGTGGTCAGACAGACAAGAGAACACCAAACAAGCCAGGAGGGGTGGCTGGTCAGTGTCGTGTGGACGACACTGAATGTCAATGTCATGCGAGCAGATGGTGAGTATGAGGAGCTATCCCTGTTCGCCAACGCTCTCAAGCTCCTCTTCCCCCGCCTCTATCAGCAGCATGCGCCCTACATCTCATACCGCCTCAAGGTCATGCGCATCGCTCACGAGGCATCAGCGGCCGCCGCCGAGCTGACCTCTGCACGGCCACTCGGCAGCGTACAACGCACTATGTCCATCCAGCCGCAGCTCCCTTCAGGTATTTAACGTACGTAGCCACACAGACAGACACACACGTGCAGGGCAGGGCAGGGAGACAGGGCATCCATCCTCCTGTGTGCTATTTATTGTATTGCTGGCCTGGCAGGTGTGGGCGTCAGCCCTGCCTTTGCTGAGAGATCCCGCTACTTCCTCAGCTTTCCCACATGTGCGCAGACCAAGGTCAAGAGCCGCCTCACACAGCTCACCAACCACCACCCCGACCTTCACCTCTCACCCAAACGGCCCCCCTGGTCGACGCCCCTGCCGTCTTGGCTGATGGATCTCTCCACATCAGACGCCATGCGGGCGCTGCACCGCATTGCGATGGAGCGGGCCATGCTGCAGCGGCCGCAGCGGCGGGTGAGTCTGCCGATGGTGACGCCGCCTGATGAGCGTGGTGGTGGCAGTGTGGTGGTGGCGGTGGTTGGTCAAGGGCGGCGGAGCAAGCGTGTGGCTGTGAGGGATATGGCCACTGGAGACATCATTCGAGAGCAGGAGGAGACGGAACAACACGGTGATGCTGACGCTGGTGGTGGCGACAGCATTAGCCCAGCTCCTGCTGCCGCTGCTGCCGCTGATGTCCCGGTGCCAGTGGCTGGGCCCGTCCAGGCTGAGGATGGTCTCGCAGTCAATGCTTCAGAAAATGCTCTTGTGGGTCAGCCGCTGTCTCTGGAGCCCCCTGACCGGACACAAGCTGAGCACCGGGACACAATCTTCTTCCACAGAGGTAAGTAGGTAGGTATCAACGAGGCAATCAATCACTGCGCCAGCCTGTCTGTCTCCCCTCTGTCGTCTATCTATCCTATCTGTCTGTCCCCTTCCTTGTTGGTTGCAGGTCTGGTAGGCTGTGTGGGCGGTTTCCACTGGGACCGGCGGTCGCTGGAGCTCACCCACAACCGGGCAGTGAGAGTGCAGATGCTCTCGGATGACGGTGCCCGTCCCGTCATGGTCAGGTCGACTCGGAGGGTGCGATACGCACTGCATACGAGAGGAGACTCATTCAAGGTGACGGGAGGGAGGGAGGGAGATGGACACACGAGAAAGAAGGTCAAGATGCACTTCCTGTGCGGTGCTGTGCTGTGCAGGTGTCCGAGTGGCTTCTGGCGAACCAGCATGACCTCCTCACGCCAGTGTCGCTGCAAGAGGGCGGCCAGCAGCTGCCCTACGGTGGTGGTGTGAGCCATTTCCATTTAGTGTCGTATGTCGAGGCGTTTGTGGAACTGGCCAATATGAGAGGAGATGACAAGATGAGGACGGAGGTGGGTGGGACGATGCAATAGGGCTGGGCTTGTGTGTCTATTGACCCAAGACAGTGATTGCACGGAGGGCCTGGCAGCGCAGAGAGACAGTCTTGATCGCATTTCACATGAAACACTCGTAGAGAAGGCGTGGGTCTCGCATCATCTAGAGCCCTGACTGACGGACGGATGGATGTCTCGCCTTTAGTTGGCATCGATCGCATCACACACAACAGACAGACGGATTGGATTAAAAACTTGTCCTTGGTGTCGTGTGGTGGGGGGTGCGGTGCATATGTGTGTACTGACGGACATGTCAACCACCTTGAAGAGTCCCTCACCGTGACGCCACACGTCACACGTGTGACTGACGTGTTACCAACCAACATTCATTCATCAAATCGACGGGCCAGGCCAGCTCCCCCCAACCATCCCCCTGGCTGCGTGCCTGAGGCACAAACTCTCTCATTTCTCCTGCGCCTGTGTCCGCCCGCCCGCCCGCCCGCCCGCCCGCCCGCGCGCCCGTCAGCCCGTCGGTGCAGCTAAAACGCATCCCACACCAGCAAGCACTCGCTCAAAATGACACCCGTAACCACGATGCAGGCAGGGCAAGGCAGGGCCGGCAAGACGAACAGGTAGGGAGGGAGGAGGGAGATGGGAGAGGGATAGGGCACGTACGTGTAAAAATAATACGGCCACTGGACCGCATCGCCATCGCCATCATCATGCCATCCGTCATGCTCTCATGCAGGGCAGGCACAGATGTGTCAACTGACTGACTGACTGACAAGGAGGGACAAAACTTGGATCACACCATTCTCATCCATCGGGACAGACACACTTCGACACCTCCGAGTGGAGCCTGTCTGTCTTGTGCTGCCAGCATTGACCTCAACTCTCGCCGCTTAGCATCAAACGGCAAAGAGCTGAGGTCATGCCGGCACTCAAAGACAAACATACTCACGACAGAAACCAGCACACCAAACCACATGTGCCCCCCCCCCTCCCTCCCCCACTGTTGTCTGTGTGTGTGTGTGAAGGCGGCCAGGCAGCACAGCAACCAGTGTGTCACTACAGAAGCAACCAACTGCAACCAACGGCACCCACACCACACCCACCATTGATTGCATTGCTCGTGACGGCCTCTCGTCACTCCCACAAAAGATTAACGCGCAGACAACAGAGAGAGGGGGGACACAACGAATGAATGGGGATAGCCGAGGACAAAATACGAGAGAAATACCGATGTGCCCCTCCCTCCCTCCCTCCCCATGTTGATGTGATGGCCAGATGGGTGCGTATTGGGTGGGTCACGTCACGAGAGCAGCTCCTGGTCGCCGTCTCCCTTTTGCTGGACGATGATGATCTCCCTGAGCGAGTTGAGCGTCAGCACCGCCGTCCGCAGGGTCGTCTCGTCCACACCGAAACTGCACACGTTCTGGATGTAGTTGGTGATCTTCTCAACCTAAACACAACGCACACACACATCGATGACAGACAGCCCGGCCAACCACACACCCACGCAATGCAACGCAGATCACACACACTTCACAGCCCTATCTCTCTCTCTTTTCATCTCTCTCTCTCTCTCTCTGTGTGTGTGTGTGTGTGTGTGTGTGTTGATACCGATCCGAGCATCTCGAGGTACTCGTGTTGTTCCTCGAAGAGGTATCTCGTGTAGTAGCGCTCGCCCTCGCCCTGGAACTGAATGGGGCCGGGGTTGCAAAATCGATCCTCATTCTCCCACTACACAGCCCACACACACATACACACAAAAGACACACACGTGTGCATCAGCAGCACATCAATCAGCTCAAAGAAGCGGAAGGCCGGGGACCGGACGGCTTACGTATTCCGTAGCGCTCCTGAGTGCTTTGAACGGGCGGCCGTTGAGCTCAACCTCAGCAGATGGGACCATGGGCACCTGCACACACCATGGATGGACAGACAGCACACAAATCACTAACAGATGACTGTCCGCTAAAGACTGTGTGAATGATGCTCAGCGGCAGTACCTGTCGTCCGTAGGCCTGTGTCTCTCTCTCTGGGAGGACTTTGAGCATGGCCGTGACGGGCAGCGTGGCCATGCGCCACGTCTGCGAGGGGCCGCACAGACCGCGCACCGTCGTCACATACCCTGTCAGCGAGCTCTCGATACAAATGCTCGCCAGATAGCCGTGGGACATCCCTGAGACACACACGCCATTCCCCAACCTCCCAGTACCCCCATGTGTGCACCACAGGAGGGGTGGTTGGTTACCGAGTGCGCAGTCGAAGGGCGAGGGCATTGCCGATCGTCCCTGGTAGCCGAAGTAGTGGCAGACGGGCGAGAAGCTGCCCTTGTACTGGCCCAGGTGTTTGCGCTTCTTGAGCTCCACACTCACGAGCTGAGACAAGAGCTCCTCCGTCGCCACGGCTGACAGCTGCACACATACAACAAACAGAGGAGAGGGAGGGCACATTCTGTGTGTGTCGTCTATCCATCCATCCATCCATCCATCTGTCCGGGCGCACACACGCCATACCTGAGTGCGTCCGCCCTCGCGTGGCTGGACGAGCTGTCGTCTGAAGAACTCGGGCAGCGACTTGAGCAGCGCGTAACTCCAGGGGGTCAGCTTGCTCGAGTACCTTCCACACAGATAAACACGCACACACACACGCACACACGAACGATAAACCAATCATCACACCACCCTCTCAGTGGCTCAGCTGGTCGCTCGCTCGCTCACTCTTGCTCGCCAGGTTGCAGTTCGACCAGCTCCGAGATGACCTGTGCGTATGCGGTGCGGTCGAGGCCGATGGTGATCTTGTTGAGCTCGGCCACCAGCTGACGGGTGGCCGGCAGGTGGGAGATCAGCCCCTCTGGCACCAACACCGTCCCGAAGTTCTTGCCCTGCTCGGCACGCGCACAGACGATGTCGGCTATGTCCTGCAGCCACGCACGCACACACACGGAGAGAGAGAGTGTGGTGGGGCTGGGGTGGGGTGTGTATGGTGGGATGGGAGGGATAGGTGGGGTGGCTGACCTGCACGACGTCGTCAAGCGTCTCGTCATTGGCGGCGTACTCCTCTGAGATGACTGTGCAGTTGGGGTGTGTCTGCAGGCCGGCCTCCATCACCATGTGCGACGGGTCGCGACCCATCAGACGGACGAAATACCAATACCTGCACACACACACACAAAGACAGCACAACACAACACAAGACGCCATCCAAGTAATGTGCCCAAAGTGGTGGTGGGGGTGAGAGATTACTTGGTGGCAGAAGCGGCGTCCGTGAGCAGGTTGCCGATGAGTGATGCGTAGCACTTGGAGGCGGTGTCGAATCCGATGCATGCCTCCACCATGGCGTGGCGGACGTTGTTGTTCTGCGTGGCGGGCACCCCGATCACACACGTGTGGATCTCCTTCTGCAGCAGGTACTCCGACACCACAGCCACGTCTGTCAGGGTGTAGGTGCCGCCACACATGACCAAACTGACACACACACACACACACACACACAGAGAGAGAGAGAGAGAGAAGAAGAGGTAGAGATGCGAATGGAGTGTCGCCATCTGTGTGTCCGTCTGCGCGTGTGCGTTGCTGAGAGGAACCCACCCCACCCGTCGAGTCTGAGGTCAGTGCAGGTCTTTTCGATTTTCTCGAGACCCTCCTGCGTCCTCAGCTGCACCTCCTCCCTCTCGGTGCGGCCCAGCAACTCCAAACCACCCTGCACACACACACACACACACAAGGCGCATAGTGGACCACACCACCACTTATGACGTCCGTCCGTCGACCCAATGCGGTCATGCTATGCGGCTGTTGTTGCATTTGCTGACTGACCTGGTTGATGTAAAGCTGGAGGTCCTCCTTGGTGATTTCGATGTATCTCTGGTTCAGCAGGCCAGCCGCACCGTGGAATCCTATCAACTTGCCCCGAACGATCTGCAGCCTGGAGGCAGGTAGGCAGGCAGGCAGGAAGCAAGCAACCACACCAACTTTTGATTGTCATGGGGATGCATTGCATTCGTGTGGTATCTTGTCTTCTTGCCTTTCGAAAAGCCCCGCGACGACGTTCTGCACGCCGGGCGACTGCCGGTCGCACAGCACCACCCCCACTCGGAGGGCGCGGGTCTCGGGCGCACGCAGGTCAACTGAATGAACAGAGAGGGAGGGAGGGAGGGTGTGTGTGACGTGACGAGTGTCTTGGTGTCTGTATTGTCTGTCTGTCTGTCCAACCGGCCCCCCCACCCCACTGACTGACCCACCTCACCTTGTATGTTGTACATCTGCAGCCGCGACTGGGCGCACTGCAGGGGGTACTGACTGCACACACACAAACGGGGGGCACACACACACATCCACACGCGTGTGATGTGACACACACAGACGTAGACAGACAGGGTGCATGTGTGCATGTGTGTGTGTGTGTGTGTGTGTGTGAGCGTCCGTGTGTCCTGCCTGTGCTGACCGTGTGACGTATTTGTGCGCCTGCTGGTCTGCAGGGACGATGCGGTTGGCCTGCACAGCACGAGCCTTCGGATGCATCAGAATCGGCGCTACATCAACCTAACCAACCACGCACACCACACACATCACACACATCCATCCATCCATCCCAATGAGAGATGCGTGTGCACGGTAAGTGCTCAATCCATTCACCCAGCCACCCCCCCACCTTGGCTTTGATTCGCGTTTTCTGCAGTGTGCTGAGGTAGGTGTCGCACTTGACGAAGCCGTAGCGTGTCTGTGGACATCAACCAGCCACACACACATCCACACACATCCACACACACACACACTCAGTGCACACAATGCGGCGAGCCTCCTCCTCTCCCCTCCCCTTTGCACGAGGCCTGCCTTGCCTTCCTGACCGACCGAGAGGTTTTGGTAGTTGAATGGCGTTTCAGGCAGGAGGTCCTCCTTGGTGGGCGGCGTGACGGTGTAGTTGGTCAGGTTGGCACCCGGACCCTCAAACTGAACCGGACCAGGCGCGCGGTAGCAGTCGCGGTACTTCCACTCCTCACGCACCTGCAAGGCCACACACACACACACACACACACACATCCATCTGTGTAGGGTGTCTGTGTCAACAGGGGGTGGTGGCTGACCTCAGCGAACATTTTGAACAGAGGTTTGTCGAGCTCGACGAGGTACTTTTTGATGACGGGGACCTGCTTGCCCTTGCGCAGCTCCATGTTCATCATGATGGTCAGCGGACAACCCGCTGCCTCCCAATCGGGAGACGGACGATCCAACTTGCGCACCTGCAGTGCACACACCACACATCAGTCACACCGACCGTCTTGTCAAGTCCATCCCCTCTTGTGAGTCTGAGGGATACTGACCACGGCCATGTATCCCGTTTTGCCGTTGTCGACGAGTGCAGCGGCGCAGTGTCCGAGTGCGTAGCAGTAGTTGGCGTCAAAGTTGGACGGCATCGCACAGCGACCCTCGTACCTTGCCACACACAGACGACACGACACACGTGGGGGCTCTTGTAAGTATCTCTGTCTGGTCTGGTGTGCGAGGGGGGTCCCTCCCGGCCCATTTACCCGAAGTAGTGTGAGATGGGCAGGAAGTATTTGCCCTTGCCGAGCTTCTCGAGCTCCTCGGCCACCATCATGATCAACAGACGCTCTGTCGCTATCTTGGCCACCTGTATAGCGGAAACATTCCAATCGCGTGTGCGTCATACGTGTGTGTGTCTGTGAGGTGAGGGCGTAAGTATAGGCCCACACCTGTACGTTGCCATGTGGGTCTCTGTCGAGCAGCAGTTCGTTTCTGATGGTCTGTGGCGCGCTGAGAAAGACCTTCATGCTCTGCGGCGACAGCTTGCCGCTGTCGAAGTCTCCCTGCGTCAGGATGTTGTTGATCTCGGATATCAGCGTACCAACCTTCACACGCACCCGCACCACGCACCACAATGAGGTCCTCTGTGTGTGCTGACTGGGTGGGATGGGGTGGGGGTGTACCTCCGGGATGAACTCGATGAGCCCTTCGGGCAGCAGCACGACGCCGTAGCCCTTGCCCTGGTCCTCACGCCGGACAATCATCGTCACAATGTCACTCACGATGTCCTCCAAGGACATGTCCTTCTCCTAATACACACACACACATCGCACACACACACACACCAGACACAACACATGACGCCTCCCCCCTCATTTGTCCCATCTCTCTGTCTCCTCTGACTGACCTCGACTTCTTCGCCAATGAAGACGAGGTTGGCGCGCGTCTGCATGGCGCACTCGAGTGCGATGTGGGAAGCGGACCGGCCCATGAGTCGGACGAAGTGGTAGTGCTGCTTGGAGGTGGCCACGTCGGTGCAGAGATTGCCGATGAACTCAGAGTAGGTCTTGACGGCCGTGTCAAAGCCGAACGACGCCTCCACGTACTGATTGCGGAGGTCGCCGTCGATCGTCTTGGGCACACCGATCACCTTGGTCTCGCAATCCTGAGCCCTGGACACACAGGGGTGCACACGACACACACACAGGCAACGAACGAAAGGGGGCGGGGAGGTCATGTGTGCGTGTGTGTGTGTGTATGTGTGTTGGGCTGTCTCACTTGAAGAATTCGGCGAGGACTGCGGCGTTTGTGTTGGAGTCGTCGCCGCCGATGACCACGAGGCCGTGCAGATCCAACTTCTTGCAGATCTGCACACACAGGCAGAGCACACCCCACCCCACACAGACAGACAGACACGTACAGCCCTCCCTCGCCCAGGACATCGATGAGCCGCATGAGCATGCATCGGCATCCATACGCACCCACCCACCCACCTACCTACCTGCAGCGAGCTTTGCTTCTGTTCGGCGGTTTCGATTTTGTGTCGACCGGAGCAGATCATGTCGAAGCCTCCCTGGTTGCGGAACTTGTCCATCAGCGCGTCATTGATCTCGATGTACTTGTGCGAGAACACACCATGCGGACCTGTCAGTCAACGCACACACACACGCCCAGCCCACAACACACATGCATGCATTGCATCGGTTTGCTGTCGGTGCTGTGTGGTGCTGTCTGTGTATGTGTCGTTGTGCCTGCCGTAGTGGCTGGCTGGCTGACTGACCTCCGAGGAAGCCGAAGACCTGGCTGTTGGGGTTGCATTGCTTGGCGTAGTCGTATATGCCCGAGATGACGTTGTGTCCGCCGGGTGCCTGTCCGCCCGACAGCACGAGGCCCAGACGGATGGGCTGGTGCTCCTGCCACGCACGCTCGTCCTCGCACGCACGAAGCTTCACGAACTTCTGACCCCAACTGAATTGAATGCACCGCACACAAACACATGGACGTGTCGATCCGATCCACACACACCACATCATACGTGTGTTTGTGTGTGGTTTGGGTGCTGTGGGCGCTGGGTTGCTCGACGTCCGTCCTCACGTTTTGGGGAAGAGTTTTGCGAGTTGTTCTGCGTCGCCTTCGGATGCCAGTGCCGCCTTGGTGTTGTCCTCGAATGAGCACACGGGGCTGCGCAGGACGGTCGGCAGCACCGGCTGCCACTTCTGACGCGCCTTCTGCATCGGACTGAACTGATCCTTCAACATCGGCGAGTGCCTGAATGAATGAATCAGTCAGTCAGTCAGTCAGCCAACAAACATGACAGACACGCACATCACAGCCCGACACGACACAACCGATGAATCAAATCAATCGGATGACCCACGCGGCCTGGCCGCGCGCTGCTCGTAGCGTACCCATGTGCAGCTCCTTTGCGTCGGCGAATGCCCAGGCGCGTCGGCGTATCGGATCTGACAGCCCACATGCAACCACACACACATCCGTCTCGCCGCATGTGCTGTGCAGATCTCCCCTCCCTCTGTCATTGACACCTAGCTATGCCCTCACCGGTGGAACTCCATGGTCTCGTCAGTGGTGCTGCGCTCTCGCGCCACTGTCATGTCGGTGCCATGCATCTTGGTCACCTGCACACAGCACATCACACAGATCCACACACACACACGCACAGAGGTGCGGCAGACGAGGGCGTGCTCACTTGCGGCATGGAACCCCCGACTGACACAGCCGAGAAGAAACGACTAGGACGATCGGTCTCTGCCAGCGTGAAAGATGGATCTGCTCTGCTTCTCTCCTTCACTCACACCTCTACCCACCCTGCAGACTGTAGGGTTTGGGGGCTCAGGGTTTCTTGCATGCGGTGGCGTCTCCAGCGCCCCCCCCCCCCTCTCCGTGACTGATACACGGGCTGAGACAACACAGCAACTGTGGCTGCTGCCGACGTGCTGGATTGATTTTCCCTTTCAGCGTGTGTCAGGATGGCATATGAGGACCCGAACGTGGTGTTTGAGGACGAGAATGACGTGCTGTTGGACCATTTCTACTTCCACAAACAGGTCAGAGTCACACCAGGGCGCGCCAAGGATCGTCTGCTTCATTCCGGGGCTGCTACTGCACTGCACTGGGGTGTTTTGCAGTTTGCCGATCGGTTGTATTGGGGCATCGTTGCGTGGAAGGTCAGTCAGTCCATGGACTCAGTCAGCCTATACAGAGAGGGAGGCTGTGCTGGGGCACACGAAGACGGATCGGGTGTCTCTGTGTGCACTGGTGTGTGTGCAGGAGTATCTTGGCCGCGGCAAGACCGCAGAAGGGGTGAGAGATGATGATCAACAAGAGAGCACCATGGCATGTTGGAGCATATGTGTGTGTGTGGCGGGGCGGCATTCCCTGCCTGCACTCACTGCAGGGCGATGAGCAGTACATGTGCGTCTACACCGATGGCGACTCGGAGCACATGCACAAAAACGCCATCATGTAAGCCAGCCCAATTTCCGTACGTGTGTCTCACACGGCTCGGTGTGTCAAGAATGAATGTCTATCGCCTGTCGCTTTCCCCAAACAGAGAGCTGCAGGCCCCTTTGGGCGGTCGTCTGCCGCCCATCAACCAGCGTCGTGCGCTGTGTGAGCTGAAGGAGTACGTCATCGCCCGCCGCCAGAACGGCCACACGCCCCACACACTGGACCAGTCCCACCTCGATCGCATCATCCGCCGCATGAAGGCTACGGAAAACAAGGGGCACGAATACTGGCGACGACGGGGTACGCGGTTCGTGGCAGATTGCAACAGCACGTCCTAGACACGAGCATGCCTATTGCATGCCACCAGGTGAATGGGGCATGTACAAGCCGAAGGGGTCGTCGGCTTGTCCGCCAACACCGTCTCAGAACAGCCATGCAGGCGGCGACGACCAACCCTCCACGGTGCAGCGGGGCCTCCGACGCCCACGTGATGATGGCTTGGCGGGACCCGGCTCGTCGAGGGCAGCCGGGGACGTGTCCAAGCGGGTGAGGCAGCAGCGAGGGAGGAAGAAACATGACGACGAGGAGGAAGAGATAGAAGAGGCTGGGACAGAGACGTGCATGAAGGCGGAGAACGGGGAGGGGGATGCTGAAAAGGGTGCTTATGCGTCTTTTGCTAAGCACCGAGAGACAGGGCCCCCACCGAAGCTCGTGGTGAGCGCTCCGCTGCCACCGAACCCACTCATCCGTTCGTTCATCGAGTTCTGAGTCCACCCCCCCCCAAATCGTTGTCAATATCTCTCAGGCGGGCCCTTCGATGACTCTCGAGGACGTCAACGCCTTCCTGGGGTGGGTGACAACTGAACATCAACAAGCTAGGCCGTCGCATCGCATTCCTGTGTCCGTCTGTTCTTGTATTTCCTGTTTGTGAAGGTACTTTGGTGCCATGCGGCTCAGTTCCGACATCTGGACGCTCAAAGACTTTTGTCACTTCGCGACACACCTCGACAAAGAGACAAAGGCACACGAAAGAGAGACAAAGAGAGACACGCAAACAGGTGTGTGTGTGTGTGTGCGTGCGTGTGTCGGTAGTTGTGGGACGTGTTAACGGGAAAGCGTCCAGAACAGGTGGTTGACCGGCGGCTCAAGGAGGCCGTCTTCTACGCTCAGATCTGCCTCGAAAACCAAAAGCAGTACCTCTCCATCCAACACGAACAGCAGCATGCCGCAGCAGCAGCGACCAAGAGGGAGTCCTAAGGCACGGCAAGGCAAGGAGGAATCAAGGAACACATACAGTAAGTACATAGCAGAGAAACTTGGCCCGGCTGCATGCAATGCAACGGAGAGAGATGGGCTGACTAAATGCTCTACTGACTGACGGCACATGACACTGAACGGAAGGGACCAAGGGCCTTCGTCCCATCCTGACGCACACAAACGAACTGTGATATCTCAGCAGGTTGAATGCATGAGTGAGGGAATGGAGACGGTCCATAATCGGAGAAACGGTCCACAATCAGAGAAATGGCGCAACACAACACAACACGACAGAACACAACACAACACACAACTCAGGCACGAATCGTAGAGAGAACAGATGTGAACTCAGTCATTCTTCCTCTCTTCAGACAGACAAACAAAGCACAGCACAGCACGGCGCGGCAGGGCAGGGCAGGGCAACTAAGGTCTGGTCTGCCCACAGAGGGGCGTCGATCGATTATCCGCGAAGACACCATCAGTGGAGCACAGACAGGTGCGTGCACACGCAACGAGGCTAGTAGCCTGTCATATACGAGCATTCCCCAGTGACTTCACAGCAGCTCACGTGCAGCCAAAAAAATGAGAACGAACATAGTCTTCTTGATGACAGGCGACCGCCGGGTTGGCAAGCCACTACCGACCCGTAGTCGTCCAGGATATCGCTCATGCACTTGCTCCCACACCCGAAACCTCCACATTCACAAACGTGTCAACAATGGTACCGTCGCAATCCCCTTCCTCGCGCGCAAATCCACAGATGCGATCGCGCAGATGCCTCCACGCTTCTTCGATCTTGTCATTGCAGCACTCGCTGAGCGGACCGCAGCCGGGGGTGAAGGTGGTCGCCGCCGGGCTGATACGAGTCCTCAGCGCCGCCACAGTGGCCTCCGTGTCACATGGACAGCCAAAAAAAGGTTCGTCTGCGACGCCACCTTCGCAGCACGACACAAGTCTCTGCGGCAGTAGTAGTTCCATGGGCAGCCATTCCTCGTCGCCCCTTGTCAGGGGATCGCTGGGCAGCAGATGATTGGCGGTCACATTGATTCGGTTCAGCCACCAGTAGTCATCGGGCGATTTTGATAGAGGTGGCTCCTCGGGTCCATGACGCGCCGCCAGAAGTCCTCAAACATCACATAAGGCGCCGCGGTGTGCTTGGCCTGATCGGGTAGGAAGATGACGTTGGCCATCACGCGGCCGTCCTCATCGACCAGTGGATGGTGGATTCTCACAACGCCGATTCGGTGGTCCGGCACACCGAGGAGCTTCTCGACGTCCTCTTCCAGCTTGCGCTTGAACTCCACTTGGCGCAGATCGCTCACGCGAAGCTTGCCCATGTCGAGTTGGATGGTGGTGGAATAAGGGGTGCCCCAGTCTGTCGCACTCGGTGGCTCCAGCCCGAAAGTGAATGGGAGCTCCTTCGGCTCAGAGAACCCAATCATCAGAGCCTTGTCTTCGCCATAATCGATGAGTCGTCGCCGATGTGCCGTGCTGTTGAGGTACTCTCGAATCAACGGCACGTCGCGCCTGGCGTGCTCGTCAGGCTTGAGCGTTACGAGACCGACCACCTTGAGCGCGTCGCTCTCACGCGAACGGAGACAGCAGTTCTTGCCCATCAGATCGATGTGCAGCGTCTTGAGGTCCGCCGAAGAATAGCCGCTCACAAAGCACATGTCCTCGCCCCCTTTCATCTGCTCCTCGCTGCACTCTGGCAGCGGGATGATGGGGTAGGCCTGCGCCGAGAGGACGGGCACCATCTGGCAGAGGATGTCGGTGAGGGGCACGTGAGAGGGCACCACCACCGCAGACACTTGATAGGGTCTGCAGTAGGTGGTCTCCAGCCCCATGACCTCGACGTCCAGCACAGGAGATCCACGTGTGCGGTTCACCCCCAGCAGCTGCATCGCCGGCCGCACCTCCAAACCCACAAAGGCCGACGCACGGGCGGTCGGGCGATCCGTCGAACTGATCGCCTGATCACATCAAACACATATCAGTACATTGTGTATGCTCTTTGACTGTGCTCCTCTCCCTCCCTCCCTCCCTCCCTCCCTCCCCCACTCTCTCTCTCTCTCTCTCTCTCTCCCGCAGGCACCCCCGTACATGAATCATGTAGATCTTCTCGGCGGACTCGACCTGCGGTGTTCCCGCGAGCACTCCTGTCCTCTCGTTGAGCGTCAGCCCCAAAGGCAGCACATCGCTCTCAAAGCGCAGCGGCACACCGCACTCCCAGGTCGGGCGGAGCTCGGGCATGGGGATCCCAACGGACAGTGTCGTCACGCCCCCATAGCCGTAGCTCAGGGTGGTCGGTGCCGTGCGAGTTGCGTGACTGATTGCGAGGGTAACGATGACCCGAGAGACCACCCCGCCCACGACGTAGAAGATCAGGTAATTGATCAGGTTGCTACAGAAGCCGGCGGCCATGACATCAGGTATCTCCCAGCTTTATCCAGCCGGCCTGTTCCGGATGCTCTCCTGTTGCACAGATCACACGATAGAGTCTGTGATGTGGTTGCCAAACGCATTTCTATCCTTCTCACCTTTTGCACCAGATCAGCGAGTCTCTCCTTCTTGCGTAGAGCGGTTAGAAACCACGCGTGGATGGATGGATGGTGACGGGGGGATCGCGCAGGTTCGGGTGGCGCGAAACAAACAGGCGGGGTCACGCAGCAGCAGCCGTGCATGGCCGTATTTCGGCTGACGGTCAATCATCCCTCCCCCTCCCCATAGAGTCCACCCCCTCCCCTCCCCTCCCCTCCCCCGCCCCTCTCCAGCCAGCCATCATGGATGCCCCTCCACCGACGACAGGCAGGCAGGCGTCTGCCTCGGCACCAACAGCAGGCGCCAGCAAGTTCTTCGAGGCATTGGCCTCAGGTGTGATGGGCGGGAAAGACCCGCTGCTGTGGAGGACAGGCAGTTGTGACTTCCAACGTGTACGTCAGTCTGACAGGGACACACTCACTCACTCACTCAACACCACTCTGCATGCGTGTGTGTGTGGTGTGTGCGCCCGTGTCAGACCGGTTGGTGCACAAGCGAGTCGTGCCCATATGCGCATTCGTACCAGGTCGGCCACGGGATGCTTCTAGGCAGCTGACATAGGATAGCATGATTCATGGTACGTGCGCATGTGTGTGTGTGTGTGTGTGTGTGTGTGTGTGCAGGAGCGACGCACGTATCAGGAGAACAAGGCCGAGTGGGAAGAGTTGGAGAAGAAAGGTCTCCTACCACTCGCCGCCAAGATCCCGAGCGTTCCGTCCCACAGCCGCCCCTCCCCTTCTCCAGGCGCAGCTCACCCTCCGCCAGCTGCAGCTGATGCGACCGACACGAAAGCTGCGACCAAACCGTCGCGTGTGACGTTGAAGAATGTGTCCCCAGTACTGTGTGCAAAATGGGACCATATCGAACCTGGTATGTACGGTACAGTGACCCAACGCACAAGCACCGCGATGCATCCATCGTTCGCCATGTTCGGTATCTGTGGGTGTGGGTGTAGGCGGGGAACTGCCGAGCCGTCCGTTCCACACAACACACAAGTTCCACAGCCGCCCCCTCAACACCCTGATAGACGGCATCAGCAGCGCCGTGCCCACACCCGTATCCATCCGCTTTCTCGGACGCCACGAGTGAGTTAAATGATATGACAGACAGACAGCAGGACACGACAACACCTCCATCCCATCTACTCCTTCCTGATGCGAACGAACGAGGATTCATGTGTGGGTGCGGTGCGGTGCAGGGGCATCTCGCCTGACACTGTGTACAAGTTGCTGATGCACGAGTTCCTCTCCAAGGCCCTCTAGACCAACCCCCTCCTCCACCCGCCCGTCATATCGGCGGTGTGCGTGTCGGGGGGCGAGGGCCTGGTTTTGTGTCACGACAAGCATTCGGCCGGCACACTGGAGAAGGAGTGCGGTGACGGCGGCCTGCAGCTAGTCCGGCCCGATAGCAGTGTCAAAACCGGCTTTGACCCCGATATGCGGAGACTCCGCATCGAATGCGATCCTGACAAGTATGTATGTATGTGACGCGATGATAGCGATGCATCGAGAGAATCGCTTATGTGTTCGTTGGGGTGTGTGGGTGTGGTGTGGTGTGGTCGTGTCGTGTGCAGGCGCACCGTGACTTCCCCCCAAGCCTACCTGCCCATTGACCACTCCGACTGGATTGCGACCATGACTGACACCTTCAGCACCAACACGAGCACCACCACCTAGGGCGACACACGCCTCCTCCTGTTGTTCAAGCCCAAATCGATGTGTGTATCTACGCCACAACCACACACACAACATACTTGCCTGTCTACGCAAGACACGTCTGTCTGTCTGTGTGGTGTGACCGTCAGGTCTAGCGGCGGGCTGCTCAAGTGTGTCAACAGCGCCATCTCGGCGCTGCCTGCGCCACCCACGTGGGCATCAGCGGTGCAGCCCATCAAGATCTGCCCAGGGCTGGCGGGCGGAGAGGGCGACGAGGTAGCCGTAGTGGAGTGTGCTAGCGAGTTGGACTGGCGTCGGCTCCAGCGAGTTCGGTCGTGACCCTGTCAGCCATCGTGCGGGAGGACTGGTACGCGAGAGGCCGAGGGGGGTCGACCGGTGTAATCAGTAGTGGCCGTTTGGTGGCATTTGTTGGCTGACAGGTACTGGAGCGACTATGTGTTGTTCACCCAGCTACGGCCCGACATCGATGCGGCCATCACAAAGGGCCACACCAGGTAGGTATCAATGAATGTCCGCAGAGAGAATCACCATCCCAACTGCAGTGCACCGTCCGTCCGTCCGTCTGTCTGTCTGTCTGTGGCTGTGACAGTGTCAAGGCGCTCTTGCCGCTTCTCTCGCGCTACCTGCCGCCTGTTGACGACAGGTATGTCCGTCCGTCCGTCCGTCCGTCCGGAGAATCATTCACAGATACATCCATCCATCCATAAGCCGCTCTCATGTCCTTCCTCTGTGCGACTGCGTACCGTTGTGCCAGCATGAAGGAGCAGTCCAAGGCCCTCATCACCAGTCCGATTATTCTGTCAGTACCACCGATTCTCCATGGCCCGCAGCACCACCAGAACCACCACCAGCAGTAGCAGCAGCAGCAACAGCAGCAGCAGCAGCAGCAGCCATCGGCGGACACCCACAGCCATGCCTGGACGCCCCGCGGCAACACCAGCAGGGAGGGAGAGGTGAAGGTGCAGCTGGCGTTGAGCGAGATGGGGATGGAGCAGCACATGGTGGGCGTCAAGGAGTGGGTGATCAAGGTACTCAACATGGTGTGTCTCAAGGGCCACGGCGCGGCCCAACGCGTTCTCAGCCTCTCCTATGCCAAGGAGGTGGGCACAGCGCATGGGCCGATAGAGAGACATCAGAGAGAAGGAGAGGAGGCTCTGCACATATTCAAGTATCGATGTACTTCTCTCTCTCTCTCTCTCTCTCTCTCTCTCTCTTGTCTCTGTTCGTCAGCATTTGACGAAGCCTGTCGCGTCTCTGCCCGATCTGGAGGCCTTCCTGCCCCGGTTCCCGTCACTCTTCACCCTCACCCGTTCGCCCAAGGGCGAGGACCAGCTCACCGTGCAGAAGCAGACGGGCGACCTCAATCGCCCCTCCATCCCCCTCCCGGCCTCCGCACGGACCGGCCCACCGCGCCGCGCCTTCCTGCTCGCAACAATGCTCGACATCGTCACAGCCGAGGGAGGACAGATGCCTGTCGACAGGCTGCTGAGGGCGTGTGGGTATTTGGCCCGCAAGCAGGAGCTGCTGGACGAGCTCGGCCATCGTCTGGTCCGCGATCGTGTGTGGCGAGTGAGCAGTGCGGGCAGCAGCCGCGTCTCCTTGTGCCGCCAAGACATCCACTTCGACCGTATCATGCAACAGGTAAGAAGGGAAGGTGCACACCCAACGACAGCGACGGATTAGCAGGAGGAAACGACTGGTGTCCACACACAGGCTGATGGGGTGGCATCGTACCAGCAGCGCATCCCAGACGAGAGCGAGCTGCTGGTAGGATGCAAGCGGTACCAGCAATCGCTGGCCGAGTGGATGAGGGCGGCCGTCACACTCCTGCTCAGCAAGGGCAACAGCATGCCCCTGAGCGCCATCAACACTGAGGCCAGCCTCCAAACACCCGACTCCCCCCTGCCGCCCAACGACACCCTCTTCCTCATGTACCCCTGGATCTTCAGCACCACCACAGACGACGCGGCCAACGACACCATTGTCACACTCCACTCACGCTACCAGATCGGAGGCAACAAAGGCGAGCAGCAACAGCCCCAGCCCCAGCCCCAGCAGCAGCAGCAGCAGCAGCAGCAGGACGGGCAGCAGCAGAAGCACCACGAAGAGCAGCAGCAGCAGCATCATGGTAGTCAAGACGAGGACGACGCCGACTTCAACGAGCTGTGGTACGGGCCGGGTGTGCAGAGGGAGGACATCGCTGCCCCCCTCCCCCCCGCTGACGACAACGCCAACGTCGCCCGGGCCTTCACGCCTGGTGTGCAGCCGCTGCTCGCCGGCCCGCCGGTGGCAGCCGACGACACCGAGATGCTGCCGGAGGGTCAGGGCGAGGGTGGGGGTGGGGAGGGCGACGAGGCGATGGGGGAGGTGGGTGCCGACCATGGTGACTCGTCGGATGACTTGGGCCAGTCGCCGAGGCTGCATCAGCCTGACGAGACCACGGTTCAGTCGCTGGAGAAGAAGCGGCAGGAGGTGGCCATCCTCCAGCTGGCCGTGCAGCAGCTGCAGCGGACGCAGGCCGACAACGACAAGAAGTGAGCCAGCTGGGGAGGGAGGAATGACAAACCGGAGCAAGGAAGGAATGTGTGCGTTCGTTTCTCCCTCTGTGTGTGCTGTTGAATTGGGCCGGCCAGGATTAAAGCGCTGGAGCGTGACAAGCGGGCGGCGGAGGACAAGGCAGTTGAGGCGCAGAAGGAGTGAGCTGACACACAACCAACACAGAGACATCACATGAATCTCTCCATGCATCGTATGTCATTGCATCTGTTGTGTCAATTGGTGGGTCTGCGCGCAGGATAGAGAAGTACAAGAAGATCGCAGCCACGGCGCATGGCGCAGAGCAGAAAACGCGCGAGCTCGAGAAACAGTGAGCTGACATGACAACGGACAGACAGACAGCGACGCCGCACAATAAATAACACAGTCAGTCGATGGACGCCTGTTGCTCCCTGCCCTGTCTGTCTGCTCATCTCTCCTTAGGTTGTGTGAGGCGCAGAGCCGCTACGACGCGGCGTGGGACGACCCTGCCGGTGCTGCTTGGACGAAACAGAAATACGTCTACCTCAAGCGAGCACTGCAGGAGCTCGAGCGGCCTGTGCGGCAGACCAAGGGCCTCACCGACAAACTGACCTGCAGCATCTGCAAAATCAGACTGGTACCTGAGAACTTACAGGCCGATAGCAAATGTCCGCCTCCCCTTACCAGTGGTGGTGTGTGTGTGTGTGTGTGCAGTGGGACCATGTCCTCCAGCCGTGTGGCCACGTGGTGTGCGGCACCTGTGTGCCGTCGAAGAGGAGCCCCTGCCCCGTGTGCCACAGACCCGTCAAGCGCTCAGCCAAGATGACCCTTCCCTACACCACCGACGACCTGCCAACGGTGCCCAATGGCGCGTACGAGTATGCAGTCGATCAGGGGCGCAGGGCAAAGAGGGACGGGCCACCAGCCCATCATGGCGCATTTCCATCGCTCCTTGCGAGCACCTCTCGGCCCAGCAAGCGCCCCCGTGAGCCCTCAGTGACGGCAGATGGCGAGGCGGAGGAGGCGGTGGGTGTGGTGGGTGATGGCGGCAAGGACAAGAAGGTGGGGAGCCCCCAGGCGGCCGCGAAGGCTGCCCCCAGCAAGCCGCAAATGCAGCGGATCAAAAGAAAGAAGACCAGTTCTACCCTGACCACGTGACATTCCTTGTGTGTATGTATGGGTCGGTGTGAGTGGGTGACAGACATGCCTATAGATAGGCACACAGAAATACATACAGCTACCTCAACCAACCGAGGCAGACAGACCAGGCAGCGAGCGAGGGGAGAGGGAGGGCGGAGGGTGAGGGATGTTTGCTGATGGGCGGGTGGGTGGGTGGGATGGCTTCGGTAGGTGTCGTCTGTGCATGTATTGACGGATACATACATGTACATGTGTTTGCGGTGCGGTGCGGTGTGCCTGCATGGGATGGGTGCTTTATAGAAAGGGTCTCTGCTCGTGTGTTTCTTGTTGTTGCTGGTCGGTGGGTGGCGAAAGTGTCGTGTGTGGGGTGGGTGGACGTTGAGCGAGCAAGGGGGAGGGCAAGTGTAGCACACGGCTTGGGCACATCCATCTCGACAGAGACGGCCCCGCCGAACCATCTTTTCGGCATGCAGGAGTCAGGTGTGTTGCATGTGTGGCTTGAATGAGGCATGATTAGCAGCGGGGAGAGAGGATTTTTGTCACCCTGCACAGACAGGTGCAGGTTTGTGGTGGGTGGTCGATTCTCTGTTGTTGCCGGCGGCCGGCCTCCCTGTCTGTCTGTCTATCTGTCTGTCTGTCTGTCCATCTGTCTTCATTCCCTACCTTGCTGTCTGTACCAGTAGAGCAATTTTTTTGCCCCCCTCTGGCTGTCTCTCTGTCAATTCCCTGTCTGCGATGGAAGGAAGCCATCCATCCAGCTTGGCATCCCTCGTCTGCGGGCTGTCTATCGGACAGCCCGTCTCTCTTTTTCTCTTGCCTGAGTGCACCCTATGTCCTTATACACACACGCTTGCCTTGCGTGCATGGAGTGGAGTGGGTGTGTTGATCATTCTTTATCTAATTCGTGTGTCCCTGCCTGTCTGTCTGCCTGCCGATCTGCGGCAGCCAGGCCAGCCAGCCTGTATATGTGTGTATCTGTGTATCTATTTGTTCTTGTATGCCACACGGTCGATCGCTGAAGAGGGAAAACACACATACATACATGCATCGGATGGATGGGCGACATATCGCTGTCTCAGTGTGATCGCATCTCTCTCGCAGGGCAGTCAACACACTGGGATGGCGATGCTTTTGGCAGGAGCAGTCAGTCCACGGCTGGCATGGATTGACGAAAAGATCGAGGCATGCATTCAGTTGTGTACATCCGTGTGAGTGTGTCAGTCGCTCAGTCTTGAGCGAAGGAAGCCCTGGTGGTGCGTTACTTACGATGGATGGTACATCCCCTACCTAGTCTTTGCTGCCTTCTCCCACACGGACATATCTAGGCCTTCTATCTCTTACTTACGTACTCTGTCAGATTGAGGAATGGATGGATGGATGGATGTGTCTGCCTGCCTGCCGGCCTGCCTGCATGTGTGTGTGTGTGCCGCTGCGTGCCGGTGACTTGCTCTCGTTGGTTCATGGAGTGAGCGAAGCAGGTGGCTAGGGTATTTGTACAACAAGAACATCATATCACACACGTGTGTCCTTGAAGCCTTGATGGCATGGCATACAGTGAGGGTCAGATCTCGATTGAAGATACAAACTGTACACGAACCGAACGGAGACTCAGATGACGTCATGGCACCAGCAGCCACCCCTTCAGCATCATCTCGGCGGCCGTCCAAACCTCGATGCCGACGCAGCCGACTCGACAGAAACCTCAGCACCCGCCGACTTGACAGCCTTGGCCACATCCAGCCTCTCCCACTTGAACTTTTTGCCCTCTGATCCGATGAGGTTGCGGAAGATCTTCCAGTCCACGGGCCCTCCGGCCGCCTTGTCCTGGAAGTAGCGCTTGATGAGCTTCCTCGGGATCTCGGGGTACTTGGGCGGGCCCTTCCACGCCTCCCTCACCATCACCTTCAGACGGCCTGCACGCGGAGGCATCTCGCAATCGCATTGCTAAGGGGGAGCCTGAGATTGGTCTTCACATTCTCTTCCCTTCCCGGATCTGCAAGCTCGCAATAGAACAGGGGGGGAAGGGGCGTGGTGATGATGTGACGATGAGTCATGTGGCCAAAGAGTCAATTGGAGCTGATGACGGCGCTCGCAAGCTACAAAGATCAGATTCAGATAGATCTGGCCATTCGGCGCATCAACTCAACTCATGCTGGAGGACATCCACAGCATTCCTGCATGAGGTGTATCACTCATCGAGCGGCACCTCATCTTTCTGACCCTTCGGCGGTTATCCGCAGCTTTTGCTTCTGTCGGTGATTGGGCAGTGCAAGCGCGGTCCCACAGCTTCTGAGGTCCACAAGGGTCAGCATCAGTGACAGCCGCAGCCAATGGAGCCAGGTTCGCAGCCAGCGAGCGGAGATGTCCGTCCTCCTCGTTCGAAGGCCTCCCGTCCGCCCACTCGGCCTGCTCGGCCCCAGAACCGACCCAAGATGCAGCCCAAGGCCAAGGCGCCGCCCCCCCAGGGACACTACTGTATGGGCATGCCGCCCCAATACCCCGTGTATGCCCCCCCTGGCCCTCCCTCCGGCCCCTTGCCCTTCTCCCCTCCCTCAGGACCCTACCCCCCTAACATGCCCGTCATCTATCGACCATGGCATCCGCCGCAGCACCAACAGTGGTTCCCTCACGGCAATCCGCCGCATGTGGATCCACCATCAGAAGGTGGTCCTTCTGCACCTGCCGCTGCTGCTGCTGCTGCTGCTGCTGCTGCTGGAGGTGGAGGGGGTGGGCAGACGACTGGTGCGGCGAGTGAGGGCGGTTCGCGGTTGTCACTGCCTCCGCCGAATGGTTTTCCTGCCACGCTCAAGGGGCTTGCTGCAGAGATGGCCGATGAAGACCTGCTCAAGGAAGCACCACCGCGGAAAGCCCACGAGTCCGCGGCAGCACAATCGAGCCAGAAATCCGCTTCGCCAGCCAGGGGGCTTGCCACCCCATCCCCTCCGCCAGATCGACAAGCCCAACCACTGCCCAACGGACCGGTTCGCCCACTGCTTTACCAACCGCCGCACCCATTCGCACCGCCAGGTGGCGCTCCTGGCCATCCGGGGGGATATCACCCTTATCCTCCACCGCCCCCCTTTGCGCACACACACCAGTGGCCCGCGATGCCGCCGGGTCGCCCAGTGGCAGTACTTGGAGCCCCGAAAAGAGCCAGCGGGGCACAAAGCAAAACCGGCAGTGCGGTGGGCGACGACGATGCCAGCCAGGAGATCACTGACGTGCCCGAGGGCTACACATTCGGTCGGTATGCATTCATTGCACACATATATGCAGCTGAGCTGAGCACAGCACAGCACAGGCAGACAGGCGTTCGGTGCAGTGCGTACCTAGACGCATTTTATTTCCGTTTCTTTCCATCCATCAGAGTTGGAGGACCATCGTGAAGCGGATGGATCCATTGTGGGTCGGGTGCGCTTCAACGGCCGGTCTATGGAGAGGAAGGTCTTCAAGCTCGGTAGCTACAACAATGCCGTGGCGGGAGCGTCCAAGGCCGCCGAGGAGTGGGGGAGAAAGGCCATCCTCAGACACGTCGAGAGGCAGCGCAAGCGGCAGGAGAAGCTGGCCGAGCAGCACGCTGAGGCCCTCTCCCCCACCTCACAGGCGGTGTCGAAGCGGCCAACGGGCGGCCTGCGGCCGCGGACCGCTCTGCACAAGCCCAAGGTGCCTGGCAACAACGACGCTGATTGGGTGGCGAATCCGTCGGATGTTGCGTCATCGGATGAGGACATGGATGGTGAGGCGGAGGGCGACGAGGATGACAGCGATGCGCGGCCGAAGCGGGGTGGCAAGAGGCGGCGGGTCACAGAGAGCGACAAGGTCAGGCGGGCCAAGGCGGAGCTGCCTCAGCCGGCACCACCTGCGCACAAGGAGGTCAGGATCGACGACACCACAACCGTGCCCGTTGAGGCAGGTAGGTAGGTCCGTCGCTCGGCCAGGCCAGAACACCTCCACCACCACCACCACCACCAGGCGTCTCATTCCCGTGCTCCTTGCCTGTGTGTGTCAGGTGTGCGTCTGAACGGCCAGACAGTGTATCGTTATCAGGGCTATGTCAAGGTGGGCGGCAGGGTGCGGGAGAAGAAGGACTTCCCCCCCGGCGCCAGGCCGCCCGAGGAGGCACTGGAGCTGGCCACGGCATGGGCCGAGGCAACCTTGCAGGTGTGGGTCAAGCACATTCAAGTCGACGACGACAACGCCAGCGGCAAACCTCGCACAAGACAGAGAGACGGGGCAGCCGCAACGCAGCGGAGGAAGCCGAGGACAAAAGGAGGTGGTGGCGGGGGTGAGGATCTCATGTCGTCTGTGGTGGCTGACGGCGACGGGGGTGGCGCTCCTGTGGATGGCCAGCCCGCCGAAGGGCCGGGGGGTGAGGTTGCAGCGGCAGCAGAGGGGGCTCCTGAGTCCGACAAGAGGGCCCCGAGGGGGAAGAAGAGGACACGGCACGACCGTGTGATCGAGCCGTCGGGCGACATACAAACTGACCCACGTATCGCGGGCACTGCACAGACAGACAAAGAGACAGACACAAACACAGACAGACACTACACACATGGGAGGGGAGACTGTTCACTCCACTTTACCGGCTTGGTGTGGTGTGCACTGCAGATTGGTGCGTGGTTGCCCGCCCTGGAGGCGACTACATTGCCCGTTTCATCCGTGACGGCTTCGAGCGTCGCTTCGGCCCCTTTAGGTCGCTGCAGACGGCCCAGCGCGCCTTCGATGACGAGCTGGTCAAGACCTACGGCTCAAGGGCATGCGAGACGGTGCTGTTCGATCCGTCCAGACTGGAGCAGCTCAAGGACAACGCTGCCTTCCATGTGGCATCCCACGTGCCCGAGTACGCCACCTACCGTGGGTCGGTCGTCAGCCACCGTGCAGTCAAGAGGGCTGCTGCCGCTGATGACCACATCGTGGATGTGGTCATAATAGGGGCCGGCACTGCGGGTACGGACATGGTCACGTCTGCACAGGAGTCTCGCTGAAGCTCTGTCTCATGTATGTCGCATATATTTCCATCCTTGCTTGCGTGTGACTGCAGGTCTGGTGTGTGCAAGGGAGCTGATTCGTCGCGGACTGAGTGTTTTGGTCTTCGAGTCCAAGGACCGCATCGGCGGCCGCATCCACACCGTCAAGCTTAGCGGCACCACCCCCACAGGCAACCCTGCAGACGACCTCGAGGCCTGGGACGTGGAGGCAGAGCTCGGCGCACAATACATCCATGGCTGCTCACCCGGCATGGCGGACATCAATCCCGTCTACAGGACGGCCCTCGAACGGCGAGAGCGGCTCGGCCTGCCCCAGGCCGGCGTCGCCACGCCCCACGCCGACCCTGCTATGGCAGGTCTCTGTCTCGACCACCTAAATGGCGAGGCGGTGCCGGCAGAGGTGATCGTCAAGCTGGGTTTCGTCCTGGACAAGATCACGGCGGCCATCCAGTGCAATGCAATCGACATGTGCTTCCCCTTCCGGATGGACGGGGCGGGGACCAAGTTGCGCGAGCCATCGGAGGTATGGGACGTGGCGCTTGACGCCAAGAGGCGAGGCGAGATCCGTGGATGGCGACATGGGCTGTGGAAGAGTGACCAGAGGGGCGTGGGGCACGTGGCGGAGAGGTGGCGCAAGGGCAGCAAGAGCGGTGGGGGGTGGCGCAAGGGACGCTGGAAAGAGGAGGCGGCTCTCTTGGGAGGAACATCAGGTGGAGACATCAACGGCCAGAGTGGTGACCTACTGGGTGGTCTTCCTGCACCACCCCCAGCCGCAGCGGCCGCCGGGCCGGCTGTGGACGACAAGGAGACTGCTGAGAGCCCTCGAGCTGCCCCAGCCCCAGGCCCCGCCCCTCCCAGCCCTATCCCAGCTGCTGCTGCTGCTGCTGCCGCCGCCGCTGCTACTGCTGACGGACCAATGATGCTTGACGAGCAGCAGCCAATGCTCAACGGAACCGACACAGACGAGCTGGCCGTCGGCCGTCGGTGTGGCAGCCTGCCCCTGCCGTCGATTGAGGATGCCTTTCACCAGAACCTGGTGTCAGTGTGTCAGCGGCTGGACATCCAGTACCCTTTGTCCTTCACCGAGGAGGCCCTGCTGCACAAGGCCAAGCAGCGGCGGTGGGGCTACTGCGCCATGCCCAGCGATCTCGACATCGAACACGAGTACTTCCTCAACACACTGGAGGGCAACGGCATGAACGACGGACACAGCGGGGCCACGCAGTTCTACGGCACAGCCACGGTGTCCATTGGGCTGGGGCAGGGCACCACCAGACACGCTTCCCAGCCGACACCTGAGGCGCTGGACCACCTCGCGCATGAGGCCCTCACTGCGGCAACGGTCGGGCTGCCGGGCGACCCCTATCTCTCCGACCAGAAGCACCTGGTCAAGGACGCGGCGAGCAGGTTGGTGCAGCAGGGCGTCATGGACTTCCCTCTCTACCGATTCGCCAAGGGGAGCCAGGAGCAGGCGAGTGCGCCTAGGCCGGGTAGGCGGCCAGCGGGGCATGTCGACGAGCGTGTCTTTGGGGATCGGGTGGTGCTGTCGAGCTACACGCGGCTGGTGACGGACAAGGTTGTGGTAAAGGGCGCAAAGGGGGCGGGGGGGAGCATGGAGCCGGACATATCGCTGTCTGAGCCAGTGCAGAGCGTCCGGTGCCCTGGGCTGCACAGCGCTGCTGACGGCCATACTGCGTGTGAGGTCACCCTCAGAGGCGGAAAGGTCAGCCCAGCCCCACACACCACACAAGGATATCACACACGTTTGGTGTGTATGTGTACTTAATGGCTTTACTTACGCAGGTCGTTGAGAGCGACTTTGTGGTGTGCACTGTGCCTATCGGGGTGCTCAAGGCCTCACTCAAGTGCCACCCAAGACAAGACACACTCGACACTAACAAGTAAGTAAATGCCCTCCCTCCCTCTCGGCCACACAACCATCCATTCACAGACACCAACCAAACCGCCTCCCTCCCTCCCTCCCTCCCTGTGCATTGTATCTCATTCCATCCTCACTCAGCAACAGCAGCGCCCTGGCTTTCGACCCACCCCTCAGCGGCGCCAAGCAGGCCGCCATCCGTCGATTCGGTGTGGGTGCGACCAACAAGGTGCTGCTGCGGTTCTCAGTCAGGCGTCACCCACCGCCACACGGACACCACCAGCCCCACCCCAGTCCAGCTAGTGCCAGTGCCAGTGATGCGGCGGAGCTGGAGGAGGGCGACCTGCACCCGCTGTGGACGTACTACGGGCACATCCCCAACTGGACCACCACACACCCGCACTACTACTTCCTCAACCTCCATGCCTACTCTTCCGGCTCGGCCAGTGAGTGGTCTAGACAGACAGACAGACAGACGCCATGTGTGATGGATTGAGTGATTGGTGTGAGGAACTGATTGGCTCAATAAAGGGTCGGTTGGTTGTGTGCGTCTGTCTGTCTATGCAGGTAAGGCTGGCCTGGTGTGCTGCAGTGTGGGGCCGCCACTGGCGTATGACTGGGGAGGCCGAAATGACCAAGAGGTGAGGGATGACTGTCTCAAGGTGCTCCGGGGCATGTTCAGCAGCCTCAGACGAGAGGTAGGTAAGGGTCGCCAGCCTGCCTCCCTACCTGCCAGCAAGCCGCGCGTCTATTTGCTCTGTGTGTCACATCCATCCATTCTTTCAGTTGCGTGAGAGTTCCGAGAGCAGCGACAACTCTGTGGACGACTCTGTGGTGGACGTCCTGCCACAGCTCCTCGACTACCGCGTGTCGCGGTGGACGCAGGACCCTGACTTCCTCGGCAGCTACTCATTCATACCAAAGGTGGGTAGGTCACCGTCAGCAACGAGGGAGACGACACGCAGCGCAGCCACGGGAGGGGGTGTGGAATGGAATGGTGTGGTGTGCAGGGCAGCGATGAGCGTCTGATCGAGCAGATGGCCTCCCCAGAATGGGACGGCAGACTCATATTCGCCGGTCAGGCAGCGCATCGCATCGCATCGCATCGCAGCACACACACATAGCCAGCCAGACGGGGCGTGTATGCATCTGTGCTGACCCCTTTTGCCTCTGTGTGTGCAGGTGAGGCGACGAGTCGTGTCGGCTTCCAGACGGTGACTGGGGCATGGTGCAGCGGCCTGAGGGCAGCCGACCAGGTCATCCAGGCCATACAGCCACACCTAGCCGTCCCTGCAGCACAACCGTCACAGCAGCATCCTGCTGCAGCAGCAGCCGCTGCTGGTGGTGGCTTCGGCGGGGATGGCGGCGACAAGAGGGAGGACACAGAGATGTCGGTGGGCGGCCTGCCGAGTGGAGATGGGCAGGCAGGTGCTGGTGAAGCTTAGTGGACAATTATATTGGAAGGACAGACATGTGCGTGTGGCAGTACAGTACGTGTGGGATGTGCGTGGAGGAAGGCTCACTCACTGCAGTTGCTGACCAGCAGTCGCGAGGAGTGAGTGGAGTGGCGCGGTCCTTCTGTGCCGGACCAGAAGGCACACGCTCGGTGGTCGCTCTAGCTAGCTACGTGTGGATGTAGTTCTGTGTGCGGTGATGCGCTCTTGATCAACCAACCAACCAGTGCATCCATCAACTGCATACTGTCTGCAGGGCGACTGACTTAACCCACCACGTACACCCACACCAACGGCTCACCAGACACACTCCATGGTTCCCACGTTGACGCCGTGGCCAAACCGACAAGCAGCAAGGCCGGGATCGAGGAGAAGCCTTTGTCGCCGGGACAAAGGCGATATGTAGTGGCTGCTGATGCCGCCGCTGCGGCCGTGACGCAGTGCGTGGCCTGGCAGGTTCCGCTCCATCGGAAGAGCAGCACACTGGATGGCTCGGCAGATAATTCGCTTTGTCCGGAGCGATGGTGAGAACGGATGCGCGAGGGAAAACGGCGGGAGCTTTGGTTTCCTGGCCGGAGGTGTTCGGTTTCGAGAGCATCTGGCCATAGCCAATTTTGTTACAACGCACGCGTACTTGTATAGCGGCCATTATCGAACACGGCGGGGACTTCTCATCTTTACTTACCTGTGTGCCGATGACGCGCGCCGGTAGCCCATAAGGTCAGCTGGGAGGGCGCAAGGGAGCGTGTTGGATGGGCCGCACCACCGTCGCCGTGTGCTGTGTGCCGTGTGTTGTGTATGGCATGCAGATCAGATCGGATCATGGAAGGGCAACCCAACGTCAAATCCAGCGCCCTGCCCAGACGCAAACGAGGTCCTCAACCATCACAGCAACACACCACACCGCACCACGCCACACCCCTCTCTCTCTCCGTGTGTGTGTCCATCCATCCCATCCATCCATCGATCAGGTGGCGAGAACCAGCACATGTCCTCCATCTCGTCCAGCAGTCAGATGAGCCAGGGCAGCGGGGCGGCACCGAATCGCAGCGGGCAAGGACGGGGCGAGGCGGGGGGCGGACAGAACCGAGGTCAGGCATTGGGTGGCACAACCCACAGACAGACAGAGAGAGAAGTGCACGCACGCAGAAATCGCCAATCACTTCACTGCCGTCCATTTATTTGTGTGTGCAGGGGGTAGAGGTAATGATGGTGTGTGCGGGGTAGCTGGCACGACCGGCACATCGTTTCGTTTGATCCATCAGTCGGGACGACGGTCAACCAACGAGGGACCGGTAAGATGAGAAGGAAGCCAAATTTGATGCGTTCGACGATGGTGGAGCTTCTCCCATCGCAGGTAGGGAGGCGTCTGTCGCGTGAGGACCTCATTCACATCTCTGGCTATGGCGTGTAGCCGCTCTACAACAACAGCATCGCCACGGAGGCCGGGGCTCAGTGCCGCGAGCTCGACATCGACTGCTCCAGGGCCGCCGACAGGGTCTTCTGGCAGGCGATGCCCGTCAACGTGGCTAAGAGGTGGGGCGGCCGCATGCCCAAACTCACCCGCATCTGGTGCTGTCACCCGGCTGGCGAGGGCGCCTGGTGTCTGGACGCTGTCACGGCGCTCATCGAAGGCCACACAGAGGGCCGCACAGCCATGGTCGCGGAGAAGAGAGCAGAGGCGGAGAGGCGGGGAGAGGCGGCCAACATCCCCGACGGCTCAGTCACGACAATCACATTTGAGGCGGCTGAGCTGACCGACGCGGACATGCTGTCCGTCGGGCGCACCAACCCCACCCTCCCCCCTAGCTGTGCCCAGCCCCCCTCCCTCCCCGCCCTCACATCCATCAGCGGCCTCACTGCCCACCACCGTGGCATCGGCAACCGCGGCTGGCGCGCCCCGTCGCTGGAGCGGGTGCAGGCGCACGAGCACATCGACACGCTGGGGCCACTCGTCGGCTCGTCGGGGTGCCTGAGGGTGCTCGACGTGCCCTCGACGGTCAACCAGAAAGCCGAGGTGATGGAGCAGGTGCCTGTTGCTGAAGAGGAGGGACAGCCGGGGCCGCTGGCGAACTTGGAGGATATCGGGCCGATTGAGGTCTCCGGCGACGATATTGCGAATTTGCTTACGTTGACGGTCTGGTCCACTCGGTTGCAGGTCAGCAGGCTATCACTTTCAAATGGACAACAGATGACGCACTTACTGTGTCTATACTTTTCCTTCCTCAGATGCTGGGGTCGACCCTCGAGGCACGAGGCTGTCGTCGGTCCCTCAAGTCGCTGAAGGTCAAGTTCATCGACTTTGCGGGTGCGAGCCACTGGGTCTTCGGGTTCGCCGAGGCCCTGCAGACATTCGCCAGTGCGGTGTGCATCGGGGACGCCCCGATCAGCTTCACCAGTGCTGCAGGATCGTTCAGCCTGATGACCCTGCACAGCCACCTCTCCCCCCCTGCACCCTCACCCCTCCTCAAGACACTCATGCGGCAGCTGGCCGACCAGGCGACAGAGGTGGCAGTCGACCTCAGGGGGTCCGACCTCGCCATCCCGCCCACGCCTGCGATGCTCGACATGGCCAGAGGCCTGGCATTCAACAAGGCCACGAGTGTGTTTGTGTTGGGTGTCCACCAGCCTGCACCAGCCGCCCCCGCCCCCGCCCCCGCCCCCACCCCCACCCACCCGGCCATCGCCATCATCGACCAGATCCAGCCGATGCCGCAACCGTCGCAGCTGGTTCTCAACAAGCAGACGGCATTGGCGGCCGGCACCCACATGGCTGACAAGATGCCCAACTTGCGGATGCTGTCCGTCCTGGGCGGTGTGCCGGCGAAACAGGCGTCTGAGGCTATCAAGGCGATCGGGTGTGAGCGGGAGCTCGACATGGTGGCTGCGATTGATATTCGGGGTGTGGGCAGCGGGGGCATCGACGTAGGGGAGCATAGAGAGGGATTCCCCCAGACGACCACACTGGTTGTCGATCTCACAGGTGGGTGGGTTGGAGGGTAGACAGTCCCACAAAGACAGACACACAAAGAGACCTGCATACGAATGTCTGTCTGTGTGTCTCCATCAGTTCCTGCTGGCGTCTCCGACTTCGTCGAGTTCATCTGCTCGAGTACGAGATCGCTGCTGCAGCTCAAGTGCAAGGCGCTGCTCCTCGAGCTGCGGGGCCTGGACGCGAAGACACGCAGCCTGCTCGAGTCTGCCGTGCCTGCACAGCTCAGCAGCCTGGAGGGCACGGCCATATCGTGCTCGCAGCGAGATGATAAGCTCAGTATATATGCATCATGATCGCTGCCAAGCATTACAGTGGGTAGCTGCGGGCGTATGGAAATCGGACGGCCTGTCTGTGAGTTCGTGCCGTTCATGTGTTGCATGGCGTGAGACAGACGTTCACGTGATGCTCAATTGAAGATAGATTGCTGACGCGTGACGCGTCGAGACGGTCCCATACATGCAGTCATACCTTCCTCCTCTCCCTTCTATCCATTCGTAATTACCCGATGCCGATCGTGCCGAAGTAAGTCGCAAGACGATGCACACAAAGACACAAAAACACAAACCAGTCCCTCTTTCCGTCACTGCTTAGCATTTGTATGCGCCTCTCTTTGAGGCGAGGACTTGTACATATATATGTGAATGGGCGAGTGGGCAGATCGGATGCGTGTGTGACCGTGGGGCACATCGACTTCCTTTTCTCTAGTATACATGTCAGTTTCGTCCCTTGTCTGTGTGTCTGTGCGCCGTGTTGTCTTTTGTGCGTGTGAGTTCAATTGACCCCCCCCCCCCCCC